CTTTCTTTCTTATTCCTTTTCTTTTTTTATCCTCAAAATGTGTTAAGAATTTAAATACTTGGGTTTGGGAGTATAGCTCAGTGGTAGAACACTTGCCTACTATGTATGAAGCTGCAGATTTGATCTCCAGCACTGAGGAAAAATTGAGTACTCTGAGGAAATATATTTTTATTTGTTAGTTTTGGGGGACAGAGTCTGACACTAATAGCCCAGATCAGCCTGAACCTCTCTATGCAGTCCCGGCTAGCCTCAAGCTCATAGCAATCCTCTTCTGTTAGTGCTAGGATTATGAGTAAGTGCCACTGTGTCCAGCTAAGAGTAAGAAAGTATGTGTATGTGTGTTCGTGTCCATATGTATATACACATACACATAGAGTTGTTGTAGAAAAACAAGTTAACATAATCTGTTAATACATATGTACTAATATGTTTTACATGTAACCACTTTTCTCTATGAGCAGAATAATATAGGAGCTTCAAATTTTTCACCACAATACAATGCTGTCCTCTCAGAGGTAAAAGTTGAGATGGTACTTAGACATTTCTCTAATGAATTAGAATTTTAGAATTTTCATTCTCACCTGAAACTCCAGATCAATTCCAACAATGTTGTTTTAACCTAGAAATAGTTAACATTGCTATAGTAACAATAAAGACCACGAGTACTTGCTTTGTCAAGTAAAAGGACTATTTGATGAGAGATACCCTTCTTTTCATAGAGTAGCTTACCTAGTTTTCAGAAGTGCAGTGCAAGGTGTCCTAACTCTTTCCAGTGATGCCCATATGAACAGGCTGATATTTATATACAGCAAAGAGAAGGAAAATTCCTACAAGGGTGTTTTTCCCAAATTGAGTATTGACATACAAGTATTTTCAGCTTATAAAGTACTATTGACTATATTTTTACTTCAGGTATCTCTTTTTCCTCATTAAAAAATTACTTCAATATTTCCTTGGAATTTGAATTTATCCAAAGTTTCATCAGAGCATTTAGGAAATGACCCTATGGACATTTTGGTCTATGCAGCTCTGAGAGGGCTATGATAGGATACTCTAGTATTTGGGGCAGGCAGACAGAATGATTTTGTGACTTTTCAGTTCTCTTTAGCAGTTCCTGGAATCTTCACAGAAATTTCCTGAGTGCCAATTTTTAAACAGATAAAATCGTTAAATGGCTTGCCTTCCTTTGTTATCACTGTCCCACAGGAAAATACACCCAGAGTCAATAAACTCTTCCTTACCCAAACACAGCCAAGAATGCATGGAATGCTGCTTTCTTTCTTCTAGAGTAGATTTGGCAGATTGTTTTAGCTCTGGAATTCCAGACTAGAAAAGAGCTGCTCTTTAAAAAATTATGAGGGTGGATAAGATGGCTCAGCAGATAGAGGTGCTTGCAGCCAGGCCTGACACCCTGAATCTGAGCCCCAGTACGCAAAAGATGGAGGGAGAGATAACTGATTTTTGCAAGCTGTCCTCTGATCTCCATACCATACCTCTGACCTACCATGGCATGTGCTAGGATGTATGTGTACATACACACACACACACAGACAGACACACACACACACACACACACACACACACACACACACACAAACACATAATAAATAATCATGAAAAAAAATCCATGAAAAATTATGATCAGACTTTTGTTCATGATTGAGAAAGCACCCACCTGCTTCAGAGAGGCTGTTTTATGAATTTTTCTTTGGACTCAGGGAAGAAATGGCCTAACAAGGAGAAACAGATGCTCCTGAAATGGAAACTCAGTCCCTTCTGTTTATCCTGGGCCTGGAGTAAATGAAGACTTTGAGCCCGTGCCTAATGACCAATACCATCTTCTCATTCATTCAGCAATTCAGATTGGAAAAGGGTTGTATAAAAGCTTTTTTTCAAATATTTGGAAAGAAAAAAGGTAGTTCTCTGTATTCAGACCGCACTGTAGTAAATTCTAGGTGAATGAATGGTTCACAACAGAAAGATAACAACAGAAAAATGAGTTTGGTCATCATGAGACAGGAAAGGGTTTCTAAGCTTAACACAAAATCAAGAAGTTCTAAAAGAGTAAAAGACTTGACCATATGAAAAGTAAAAATATCTATGTGACAAAATACGCCCTGACAAAGTTAAAGAACAAGTGAAAGGTGGGAAGGAAATTTATAGCATGCACACATTGCAGACCTAAAAAGCTTATATTTCGATATACAAAACACAAGGAAGAACACCCCAGTTAGAGAAATAATACCAAGAAGCAATATAAAAATTACAAATTAAAACTCCAATTTTATCTACATGGGTAAAGATAAACATATACAAAAATACTTTTTGCAGTTCACATTTGTGAATGGCATTGTAAAAATGAGAAAATGTAGAAAGCTTCACCGACAGGAGTATAAATTGTCGCATCCTTTCTCAAGGGTGACTGGAAGGTGTCTGTAGAGGCAATAACATGTTTTCTTTCTGCCCAGCAATGCTTTCACCAATAGATGAGGATTTGACAGGGATATGGCAGAGGAATTCTCACATCAGGCGCAACATCTAACACACTTCTGTTTATCGTCCTTTGTTGCTGAGACAACAAGGCAAAGATGGAGAATGATGTGTTTCCTAGTGTGAGGAAGCTCTCTCCCCCTGAAATCGTTGATTTGTTTCTATATAATTGATGTGATTTTTAGTCACAAGCCTATCAAGTGTCTGTCTGCTCAGGGGCTCAGTGTCTGGTTTCATCCTCAGCTGTCAGGATCCCAAGGAGATTCCAAACAGGATGAAACTTGGAGTGGTGAAACGTGACCTGTGTTTACTGGAACTGGCCAGGGCAGCATCTCCCTGCCTCTGCTGACAGGGCAGGTGCTCAAGGCAGCTTAGTAGTTTCTAGAAAAGTGACACTATGCCTGAGCGACTTGGTTAATGAGGAGATATCATTGGGTAATTTATAAATTATGGACCACCTTGAACACTAAATGCCATTTGCGCTAGGGAAGAATATACCCATCATTCAGAGTTACATTCGTCAATAAACAAGGCTTTTCATCCTATAGCAGACCTTAAAGTTTGTGTTTCTGCTATACCTGCTATCAATAAACAGGGTAATTCATCATGGTGCTTTAGGTTACCCTCTTATGGGTTATAACTTTTAAAACTTCTTTGCTGTTAAGTGTGATGGTCAGTGTTCATTGCCAACTTAACAGGATCAAGAATCAGCTGGGGGATGGGCATGCCTGTGAGGGATTATGTTGATTAGGTTAACCGATGTGGGGAGACCCATCTTAACTGTGGGCAGGACCATTCCCTGGGCAGGGATCTTGGATTGTATAAAATAGATAAATCCAGCTGAGCATAAGCATTCGTAACTCTGTTTCTTGATAGTGAAGGTAAGGAGAGCAGCTCCCTCATGCCCTTGCTGTTGTGGCTTCCCTACCTTGATAACCTGTGACCTGGAACTGTGAGTCAAATAAACTTTCCCTGCCTAAGTTGCTTTTGTTAGAGTCTTTTATCACAGTAACAGTAAAAGAAGCTAAAACACCAAGATGCACCTATAATCTCAGTGCTCGAGAGACAGTCAGGAGGATCACAAGTTCCAGGTCACCTCTAGCTACATAGTGAGCTTCAGACCAACCTGGGCTATATGAGACCCCCATTTGAAAAAAATTTTTAAGTTCCCTACTTCTTGGAATAGTGACTTATTTTATATTATAGCCAAGAAAAGCCCCCGTGTAGCTAAGAGTTTTGCAGAGAACAAATACCATAACATTTCTCTCTGTGTGTCTCTCTATGTCTCCGTCTCACACATCTATACATCTACACACACCAAAGACTCTTAGAAAATAAAACATAGTAGTTTGCCATTATTACACAACCAGAAACTCCCTTTCAAAAAGTTATATTCCCCTCACTGTCACATATGCACAGACCTATGTCATTTCTTAGTCACCTCCCGAGTAAATCTTTTGGCTGATCTCAAGGAAAAGGGAGGGAGGCCTATTTGGACTACACTGTTAAACCTGAGGGCAGGGTCTGGAATTCTGTTAGTGCAAGGGGCCTTATTTCCATTGCATATATAAACTTTTTTTTTTTTTTTTTAAAGACAGAATCTTGCTATGTTACCCAGGCTGGCCTTAAACTTGGAATCCTTCTTTCTGCCTTAGGACCCCTTATCCAGTCCTGGGATCACAGACATTTGTCACCATACACAGATCTTTATGCATTCAAATAAAACATTTACTAAAGACAAGTAATACTTCAAAATTAAAGACAATATCTTTTTATAATATTTTATTATTTTATGTGTATGAGTATATTGCCTACATGTATGTAAGTATACCCATGTCTTGCAATGCCTGCAGAGGTCAGAAGAGGTTGTCAGATACCCTGGAGCTATAGTTACAGATAGTTTTTAGCTGCCATGTGGGTGCTGGGAATCAAACCCAGGTCCTTTGCAAGAGCAGCCAATGCTCCTAACTGCTGAGCCATCTCTCCAGCCTCGAAAGATAATTTTATATGTGTTATCCTATCCATTTGAATTAAAGTTGCTCAACTAATTTTTTTTCAGACAGTCCAAGTTCTACCCATTCTGTCTTGACTGGGCCTGTCTTTGCTCATCCCTTCCTGTCACCCCCAGTTAGTGTGGCTTGTGGTCCCCTTGATTTCTCCTGCTTTTGTTCTAAAGCATAAAAAAAGATGAATGGCTGGGCTGGAGAAATGGCTCAGTGGTTAAGAACACTGGCTACACTTGCAGAGGATCTGGGTTCAAATCCCAGAACCCACATGGAGGCTGACAACTTTCTGTAACTCCAGTTCAGGGGATCCGATGCCCTCTTCTGACCTCTGCAGGCATTACATAGCATGAGTGCACTTATATACATGCACACAATACACTCATACACATAAAATGATAAAAATAAATGAAATTTTAAAAAAGAAAAATGTGTGGCTAGGAAGAAAGGTGTGGTGTTGGAAGGGGTAATTTATAGGAGTCAAATGCAATTTTTAAAATATATTTATAGGGGAGAGCGTAAACACAGTCCCTCACTACCACAAATTATGTAGTTATGTTTTCCACATTTGGGGAAATTGCAGGGGTCAGAACACCTGGAGTGCAATGAATAATCCTCACCCTGGGAAAACACCTTCATGATCATGATACCTCCCCTGCCACGTAAGTATTGTCAAATGCAACATTAAACCAAGTGTGGTCATCACAGCTACAAGACTCTTATGAGAGACAGTCCCTGTCCTTTGATGATTCAACTTACAGTAGTGACAAAGTAGTATTCAGTCAATAAAACTGTACCTGGGATTTTAAATTTGGATCTTTCTCAGACCAAAAATACATGATATCCTACTTCCTGGCAATGCTGGTCAGTGGCCATGAGCCACAGCTCTTCGTCAGCCATATGACCGTAAAGGAACCTACTGATGCCTGAAGAGTATGAGGTGATTAAGCTATGGTTTTTGGTAGGTTAGGTGAGTCTAATGCATTTTCCATTATGACATTTTCTAGTTACAGTGTGTTTATTGTAACTTAACTCCATTATAAGTTGAGGACCACCTGCATTTCTACAGAATATTCAAATGAAATTCTTTTGCTCTTAGAATTTTGGAAAAGCCCCTGTGTTGGAGGATCCTCCAGTATCCCAAAGACAGGTGTGACCATCCTTGCAGGATATGCTTAGAAACCGTAGGTTCCCCCCCCCCTCCGCTGGTGTCAGTCCATTGCCCTCCTCCATGTGAGGCCATAGGAAGGACCAGAGATGCAGCTTTGAGAGCATCTTGGAGAGATTTTTCAGTGGGTGAGACAGAGTAGAGGGATAGTGGGGACATTTCTGTTTAAGAGAATCCCTCAGAGAAGTTGGCATGTGTTCACTGGAGTATGAAGGAACATATAAAAAATCTGAAGAAGGATTGCCACTAGCTTGCTGTCCAGGGCATGCTCCACGGTCATGAGTTGAACTTCAGAGTTTGGTGGGGTTAAGGTGCTTCCCTTTAATCAGATGAGAGCCCCCTCAAAGGGACCTGACTCCATCATTTTGTGAAAGACTCCAATGAAGAAGACTATGTTGACAGAAACTGACCCCAGAAGACAAGAGAGAACAGTCAGAAACCTTGGCACAGATGCTCCGTTTCTCCCTTTGAGAGATTCTTGGCTATGGGAGATTTTGATTAACCTGAAAAAAATGCTTCAGAAGCGATAACTGATATTTAAATCTCTACCCCAAAAAAACATTGATGCAAACTATAACTCTCCGATCAGGTAAGACTTTCTTGCCCCCCAACCATGCAAAGACAAAGTAAGGCAGAGCTGGAGGGGGCAGAGAATTTATGACTGAATATGTTTTGAAGTTTTAATAAGATACAGCATGCCAAACATGACCAGTGGGTTCTTCATTGCTGCTCCTGCTTGAACATAACCGTGTGAGCCATGGGATATCCTGAAGATTTCATCCAGGAGCAGGGAAGGACAAGTTGAGAGAACTAGTTTCATGGTAGGAAAAACCACGGTTGTTTTCTGTCCCCATCTCAAGTTTCATTTAGTCATCGAATCCATTCTGCACTAACTGCCAAGGGCCGAGTTGCAGAGGAGTATGTGTGTGGACACAGAGCTCTCTTGCCTTCTCAAGGATATCTGTCCGCAGTAGTCTCTTTCCTCATGGGCACTACTATTGACCTCTCACACTTTAAAGAAAACCCACCACCGTATAAAACTGACTTCTGCTTACTGATCTGGGAAGACTCTGGGAAGATTGCTCTGTTCTCTGTCTCCCTTCACAGTACAATCATTCCTTGCAAGAGTCCCCTAAGTGCACAGTCTACATCTCATTGTTCCCTCAGTCCACTGTGTGGGCTTTCCTCTCCATCGCATCACTGAACGAGACATTCCAGAAGCTGGAAAACACTAGGCAAGGGTGGCCGCTTCCTTCTCCTCAACACCTGGGCTTCTCTGGGCTTCTGTGTTCCTCAGTTACCGGTCCTCTTTTATCTGCTCACTCCCACTCCCTAGACCTCTGTCCTTGGCCTCTTCTCACCTCAGTCAACATTCTCTTTCTAGTTGACTTTATCGAGTCTAAGGATCCCATCAGACAGTATATATGTAACTTTCTTTATCCCTGAAGAAAGTTTTACTGGTTTAGTACTGATCTAAAAGTGGACAAATTCTGTAAAGAAATTTTAAGCTGTTTGGTGGCATGTGCCAATAATCTTAGCACTTGAGAGGTAGAAGTGAGATCAGGAGTTCAAGGTCAGCCTTGGTTATATAGTGAGTTTGAGGTCAGCCTGGCCACACCCTGTCTCAAAAAAATTTTTTTTAAATCAGACTCCATAAAAGACCATCCCTGTGTGAGCTCATTAAGAAAAATATTCTTTTGAATCTAAGTGACAGAAAATCAAACCCAACTATCATGGGGGAAAAAAAAACATATTGCCTAATGAGGTTCAAAGATGCTTCTGGTACAATTAACTGAGGCTTAGCCAAGGTCTCCAGGATCCCTCTCTGTCTCCATACCTTGAGCCTGCTCCACTTTTAACTGTCTATTGACTCCTCCTGTATAAAATGTACAAAAAGGTTTATTTAAAAGAATTGTCTCACAGGATCGGAGGCTACAAGTGCCAAGGTCTGCAGGGCAGGGCAGCAACCTGGAGACCCAGACCCCTGTCAGCCTCCGTAATCACGTGAATCAAATCTTTTAAGTAAACCTTTTTGAACATTTTATACATGAGGAATCAGCATGCTTTACTAGGCTTACCAATTTGCATGCTTTCCTCATCCCAGTCCCTAGCACTCGGGGTAGACTGTTTGCCTAGCCTGTATGAGGGCATAAGCTCAGTTCCCAACACTGAAAAGCAAATGAACAAAGAAACCAATCCAGAGTCAAGTTTGGCCAAGGGCATCTCCTGGCCCAGTCAAACTGACGCATGAATTGAACTACCATAGTCTTAATTGCTTTCATTGGCCCATGTGCTTTTTGTTCTCTGAAGCCCAAGTACAGTGCCCTCATCACATAGTTTTTAATAGATAAGATAATTCCTAGGTAGGAAGATTATAAGACTGTTACCCAAAAAGATAGTGTAGAAGCCAGGGACATAAAATGGATGCATACCACAAGCTTCTAGTATAGACATCTGAAAGTTAAAATGGGAATGAATCAAAGAAACACGAACTGAGGGGCTGCGCTGTGCCAGCCACTGCCCTGAGCCCCACCTTACCTCTGAGCTAATGACATTCCCGAAAAATGCACCTGCATCTTTTTCTTATACTGTAGATTCACAGTGGGCAAAAGCATCCCTTTCTCTTCATGACTTCTTCAAACTACAGAGAGAAAATTGAAAGCCAATGTTTCTAAAGATAGGCACTCTCCTTGCCCTCATGGGACATAAATACTTCTTAAAATAGTTCTGACCAAGAAAGCAAATTTGCTGGATGGCAATAGGTGACTTTGGAGACAGCTTTAAGAGCATTTGTCTACACTGTTTTCCCTTTAGATCAAAATTCTGATTTATTTAGCTAAGAGTAAAGGACCATAAATAGAATGAGGTGGAGTTTGTGCAAGATTAATATTTATTTCTTATGTGTTTATGAATATTCATACTGAAAACCTTGCGTAAAAGTTTTCAATGTATCCAAAAAAAAAAAAAAAATTGTGGGGACAGAGTCTACAGTAGCTCAGGCTGGCCTTGAACTCTTGATCTGGCCTTAATCTCCCAAGTACTGGAATTATAGTCATGTACCACCATGCCTGCTTTAATTCCTTTAAATATTTTAAATTATATTTATTTTCCTTTAAATTTCTTTAGTAGATATATGATTATTTGAATTTATAGCTACAGAAAAATTCAACATATAGATTCAACTTTTTAAGTAGGTATAGAACTCTGAAGACCTTATGTTCTTATATCCATTTTGTTTTTTAAAAAATTGTGTTCACCTAAAAATTTAAAGTTCCTTATAATATTAGATTGTTTATAATAGTTAACTATTAATTATCTGTAACAATATCCCCTTTTGTTCCTGGTTTTAATTTTTTCCTATTACCTCTAAATTGCTTTGTACAATTGGGCAGATGTAAATTAAGGACAAAAAACCAACTAAGATATATAGAACAGGTAACAGATCTCAAAACCTGATTTCTTTCAGCTTTCCTCAAATTTATCTGTAAGTCTTTCCATTACAGAGTGCATAAGAAAATTAGCCAACATGCGGGTTCTTGGGTTGAATGCCTCATGAAGTACCTATAACATACTAAGTTCTTATATGATGCAGTTACAAAGAACTGCCAAGAAATGCATGTTTTATACATATAAAAATGTTAGAAGGCAAATATTCAACTTAATATACAATAATAAAAAATATTTCTGATTTATTTACGAGGTTACTGCTTTTCCTTTTGTTAATGAATGACTTTTAGCTGTAATAACACTGAGTCAAGCAAATAAGTCACCTCTGAGAACATTAAGGAAAAATAAACATGTGCCAGATGAGCAGAACACATTACATCTTTGCTAGACTAACATGTTAAGAGCTTAGAGGTATTATTCCTATGTTAACCATAAGAAAAATTAAAGGAGAATTCCATTTATGAAATCACAACTATGAAGTCATGTGGTTATACAGATTCTACATGGGTGTGGCCACATTGAGAAGATGAACAAAAGAGATCCAGTGACTGCCTCCCCAACCCCAAGTCCATCTTCAGGGTTCTGACATGAGGTGTAGGTTTAAATAGTAAGTATGTGTAACTAAGGAGCTTTGAGTCAAGGTGTGGTCCTGTCCACCAACAGTCAATCGCTGTCTCAACTCTAGTTTGTCCTGCAAGGTGGACTGGACAAGTTGTCAGAACTGTGTGGAATCTCTTTCCTGAGACATTTCCCCCTCTGACTGGCACCAAGTTTCAGTCTTTTTCTTCTTTTAGCTTGAGACTCCTGGGGAAATTCCAGTTACTTGGGGACCACTGTTTCACAAGTCTGATAGCCAAAGGAGGCAGGGGTGCAAGTGTGACTTTGGAATATTTTTGCTTCTGCCAGGACAGTTACACTTTTGGCAGATACTGCATAAGACCTGTTCTTTGAGCTACCTTAATTTCTTCCTCTTCAGGCAGCTGAGTTGCTGGTTGAGTCTGGTTAGAGGGATAACAGAGGAATTGTAGCTTCTTCCTGATAAGGCACGGCAGCCT